CCATTGCAGTAGGCAACCCTACCGTAGACGACACGACAGGCGAAAGCCGTCTAGAAGCACACTTGTGCAATTCTCCCTCTGGACTGATTTAGCATACATGATGGCAATCTTTCCAACACAGAGGAGTAGGATCTGAAGAGGATTTCGGCTTAGCCTCTTGCCATAATCACTTGCACAACACTCGCAAAAAGACTGGCAGGTACGCTGGGTTGATCAGACCCAGTATCAGCCGTGGCATAGCCCTCTTCGTTGGGCAACCAGCTATGCTCACGGGGTTGCCCCCCTGCAATTCTTTTAAAAAACTCTCGCAGATACCCTGGCAAACAGGTGGTCCACACACACGCACACACACACACACGCGCACGCACACACACACACATACATACATACATACATACATACATACATATATATATATATACACAGACACGCGGATGCCCTGAAAACAGAGAGCATCAAGTCTCTGGCAACCAGAACAATCAAAACAAAGATTGACATCGATGCGCCTGCGATCATCTCTTCTAGAGCGGCCCGCATCCCTGTCAACTTTGTTTTCGAGTTCGCTCTGGGCTTGCACAGTCGTCTCGAGTATCTGCCGGTCACTGGAAAGCAGTCAAAGGGACGATTGGGAGATGCGGAACTTTGCCATGAGATTTGACGAAGGAAGGACCTTTCCAGTGAGTTTGGGGAGAGAATAAGGCAGGAGCCTGTCGTAGCTCCGGTCACGCTTGTCCTCAGATGTGGGGGGCACGACTGGGAGTAGTTTCAGGGAGCATGCTTATGCGAGGCATGGCTGCAGCATGCTCAGATCGGAAGTACTATTTGACCATAAATATGTGAACTAATGTATAGTGGGAGAGCGATAGTGCTGCCATGGCTCATAGTCTCGTCCTCCCCTACCTGCGAAGTACAGCCGCGAGGTTGTTCAGACGAACTCCCAAACGTGTACATGTAGCGGCGAGGGGACTGGAGAGAGAGTGGAGCAGCATTCTCACCGTCCATCGGGACTCCAATACTTCATAGAATTATTTCGGGGCAAGAAGCAGAAGGCTGTGGCAACCGAACTTGTCCATTCGGCCTTTATGCATCAAGCCCACTGAGCGACACCCTACCGACCTGTACGGGTTTTGCGCCTTGAGATGGAGGATCTCTGCAATGAGTCTACAAACTTGGTGGCTTTGGCTTATGGCTCCCCTCCATTCTGCACTCCACCTCGGTCACGGCTGTCTTTCCGCAGTGGGCTTGCTCCGCGGGGACTTGGTCGGCGTGGGCTGTACCTGGCAGGCGCTAAGACCCCCTAGCCACGCTGGTTGTGGAAAGGTCGGGAGCAGAAGTCCCTCTCGCAGCAATCGTCCTCTAACGCCCTTGCAGACCCCAAAACCCCGAGACCTGGGGGCTCGGTCCCGGCTGTCGCGGCGATCTCCTTGGAAGCAAGATATCCGTTCCTTCCATATGCTCACCCCACACTGATCCATATCAGCATCTTCATTGTAGTAGATCCTGGAGGTGGGGACACTTGTTGATTGCGCAAACAGCGGCAGCGATCAAAACTCACTCATGTTCCAAAAACATGAATTTCAAACAACTCGGCAGACATCGAACATTGCCCTAAACCCGCAATAGATGCCAGGATTTGGGCCATGTTGGGGATTGTCCAATCCCTGCCAAGGTTTGCGCTTTTCCTGGTTCGGAGGGTTCTTTGAGACTGGCGGCATTTTTAGCAACCTCGAATGCGGAACCATTGGCAGGGAGCAACAAATCACCAACAAATCCGTCCAGCACATGGAGTGCTACAATTTCAGCAGTGATCAAAAAGACACGTTGAGCAACTCTGACTCAAAACTCACCGTAGATGCATGGATTTAGGTATTGTAAATCATTTTTGAACATGTTGATCCCTCCTGCATTTCCTGTTTGGAAACTTTAGGTATGGATTTTTGAGCCTGCAGGGATCCAACGCCCTAAAGCCTGAAACGATCCCTCCCAACACATCCAACATCTCAGTGGGGGATTTGGGGTAGTTTTGAGCCTGGCAGCATTTGGGCGACATGATTTTTGGGTATGTTTGAGCCTGGTGGCATGTTGTTAACTTGTGAACACGAAACCACGGCAGCTCATGAATACCCCGGAAGAACGATGTTGCCCTGGTACTGAGAGATAGAAAGCATTTTTTTGCTTAAGGATAGATAAGCGAAGCTTCCTTCTTCGCCTCGGCGGTCAGAGGTTTTCACAGAACCCGGTTTCCCCTCCTCTTGATCCCCCCCGCCCCCTTGCAGGAACGCCCACTGCCTGTGAACTCATTGACAGGCCACAAAACACGATTGTGTACTTTCATGTCCTCCACTGGATTTATCGTGTTCGTAGGCCATCTGATGCACATTTCCAAGCGTCAGAAGCCCCTTTCCTTTCCGTCTCCATTCGCCTCCCTTCAGGCCTGTCCTTCCGTCTCCATTCCTTCTGCCTCTGCGGCCGGGCTCGGCCGGGCCAAGGCGGACGACCCGAAGCGTGTACAATCGCATATGCCATGAGATAAAGACCATCTCGCACATGAGTATTTAACTTCTTCAGTTACTAAATGTCTCCTCATTGAGCAATGTCATAGTTTTACTCAAGATCATCAGTTTTCGGGATGTAATGAGGCTGTCATTACCTTCCAAAACACAAACAGATCTTGAGCCGCTTCAATCTTTGCAAGGCCAAAACCTTTCAGCTGGCAGGAGCTTTCTTGCTTCTTGTTAGCAATAAAGGGCAGCAGCCTGCTTATGCTCCTGTAGTGTACCAGGAGTTCTTTCGCTTCTTGCTGAGTGACAACAACGACATGCACTAAGAGATTTAGGCGTGCTTCCATATTCCGTATTTTTAAGTGTACTTCACAAGTTCTCTCATCTTTCGTAAGATGTAGGAAGCTCGACATAAATTGCATTATGAACCAACTGATTTAGGGTTAAGCAGAGTCATCTGTTTCTAAAGCATAAAACAGGTAGATTTGCTCACACTTGGATCGGAAAGAGTTTTTTCTATTTTGTTATCGGCAGGTTGCATAAGCCCTGTTTGTTCTGGACAGGCGGTCGTACAGCGTGATGAAAAAGGGTTTCTCAGTGAGATAAGTGTTCCTTTTTTGTTACTAAGAAAAGCACACTGGTTGTCCAAAAGCACAGGAGCTTTCTGGTGTCTTATCTGTTGAGAGACTTCTTTCTCCTTGTTGTCGAGGAACAACGGGTAGGCCCGCAACACGGAATGGCAATCAGAATCCGCTTTGCGTTTCAGACGGTTCCCGTATGTCAAGTAAAAGATGTAGAGTGCACGTAAGGACAGGCGAAGAGGAGAAATGAAACCACGCTAAATGACGATGCTTTCCATATCTAGCAGACAGATAGAAATAAGAGATAAGAACGGCAGAGGAACAGTCGACAAGAACGGTGGTGTGGATCACGAGGTGTGCATTTCTTTTGACTCTGTGCGACTGAAGCCTACACAAGCGGAAGACTACACGGTGATCGAATGAGTGAGTGAACGTATGAAGGTAGGCCAGGTACGCTGGTAGGCTGGAGAGGTTAGGCAGGTTCGGTAGGATATGTAGGTGAGGTTGGTTAATTAGGCAAGTTAGGCATCCATGCCTGTATGGATGTGTATCTGTATATGTATGTATGTATGTATGTATGCATGTATGTATGCATGCATTTGATTACGTCATCCAGCTGCCACAGACTTGCCACAAAACCAAGCCACAGCAATTTGGACCATTTCCCTCCGCTGAAGCTGTGCCACTGTCCTAGAACACTAGCTGAAACACCTGAAGTCTAACTTCTGAGATGAAGCACCGGAATCGTCACGAGGCATGGCTCAATCCTGGGGTGCAGTTGCCACGCTGCAAAGTCTGGGAGTTTTAGGCTGCAGGCGTTTAGGGCTAGGCTAAACCGGGTTCAAGGGTTGTCGGTTTCCAGTCTGAAGGGTTTAGGCAAATATGCAAGTGATCAGGCCTCCCAAGTGCAGGCACTACAATCACCACTATCCTACACTGGTCAGAGCCTGTGCTACTGTATGTGCGACTTTCAAGGGCATTGGTCCAGACATCCACATCCATTGTCTGCCTAATCTCCTGCTTCCCGTGACGCCCGAGAAATCACCCAAAGCAAACCCTAAAGCCCTGAACAGCCTCAGCTTCAGCCCTAAAGCCCTACGAACCCAATCGCAAGTGCGGAAAAGGTTCACCTCGGACTCTGCGACAGAGCGGAGTCGGCCAGAACAGCGTTCGAGGTGCTGTACGGCTGCGATAGAAAGGGTTTAGGGCGGAAGAGGTTCCCGAAGAAGTCCTCCGAATCGAGCCGAAGAGTCCCTGAGTTCACGCACATCACCCTGCTCTGGACTCGAGGGTTTAGGGTTTAGAGAACCTCCTTCGATCCACCCGCGGACGACTGAGCCGCTCTTAAACTGATGAACGCCTGCAACTTAGTTGCACGCCCCACCCCTACACAAAAGATGTTGCCTCATCTCCTTGATAGCCTGATTTCTCAGGCCCGAGCTGTTTCCTTTTCGTCTTGGCGTAGCTCGCACTGCAGGTGCATGAGTCCACGTGAAGCAAGTGTGTTGGCAGAGGCTGGCATGAAGTGCTGCGCTGCCACTCATCAGCAGAAAATTGGCCGTCTGGCGAAAATGGCACACATGCGCGCACGCGGACGCTCAAATATCCGACTTTGGGAATCACGTTGCGTGTCCCAGCCGACTAAGCTTCAGCGGGCGTCTGTCGTCTGCGATGTTGCCTCTAACCAGACGGAGAACAACTCGAGTGGAACCCTGGCCCTCAAGACCTCCCTGGTTCAAGTCACGACCTGAGGGCCTAGATCACACCTTGCGACTTCTGTCCGATAGGCAACAAGGAGCAGTGACAGCCACTAAAACGGTGGCCAAAGCATGCCAGAATTCGATTCACAGGCGAAGGTGTGGACCCATGTCTGTTTGCCAATATCATATATTCCGTATCAACAAACAGCATTAAAGGGCGTAGTTGCACAGGGTCCAGAAACGAACCCCAAACGCATCAACACGCAAGCAGGTTAGGGCGCTTCTCTATAGAAGCCAAGCCAGAATGGAGTCTCCGTGCGCTCAGCCGCCTGGCAAAGTGAGGCTGTGCACCAGAGTCAGCAATTCGTGGGCTTGTGCAAAGTTGATAACCCAGTCTCCCCCAACGTTTGAGTCTGCTGGTGCCTAAACTAACAGCAGAACTTGATGGCAAGGGCACTGCTGGAGTAAAGCTCGGCAAAGCGCAGCTGAAAGCGGTCGCTGCCAGCGCTTTGTGCCAAGGCCAGTACTAGGTCGATGCGGCATGACATCATCAATCTCCGCAAGGAATCCTCTGATTAGGCCTTACAGCCGATCGAAAGTTGACTCAAAGATGTAACGCAGTACTGCTCCCTCATGCTCCCTCCCTTGCTCCCTCCCTTCCTCCCTCCTCTCCCTTCCCCTCGCTCCCTCCCCCTCAAGCCTGCAAATCCCGAATTCCACAAGCTTTAAGGGGCGATTGCGTGGGGGTGAGGCGGCGGGTGCGTCGGCCAAAACACACACACACAAGCTACTTTCGACTGCACTGGAAAATTGATCCCATGAGCTCTCTGAACACAGAGTTTAATTGATCACATGAGCTCTTTGAAAACAGAGTTTCTCACATCTTCTGTCTTGTGCAGCGCTTCATCGGCACTTTAAGATCACGCACAGTGCCACCATCGTGACCCGAAACAAAGATAACATCAAAAAGTCGACGCCCCTGACATGCGGCCGTGACCCCATGGCCTTTGTAGGCTTCCTGAAGCAGAAGCTCTGCAGAGTCGAAGTCCTCCTCGGCCTCCCGAGCCGCGCGGGTGCTTTAGGAACTTTCCAAGGCCTCGATCGGATCACGACGGTCGGGCCTATTCTTGGAGCTAGGCTCGACATTGCATCGGGGTGCCCGCGCTCTGGTTTTCTTGACGTTGCATCCGCTTACACGCTTGTGAATGCGCGTCCCACTTGGGTTTCTCTCGGTTGATGATCGCGCTGCAGTCAAACCGAATCGAAGGCCGGCATACTGGCATTCCAGTCGACACTTCTCTGCTCCAAGGCGAATATAACCGGCGACACGAGGCAAGAACAAGCCGGCCTGCGACAAAAGAAAAGCTGCAGAACCAGCTGTTTGTGATGCTTTTGCAAGTGGGGCGGCCTTCGCCTTCACCGCTCCCGAGAAGCTGGGCGTTGTAACCTCGGACGGCGGAGCTTCCAAAGGGCAGCAAGTAGGCTTTGAAGACTTCGGAGGGGCCCTGTAGAGGGTTGACAGTGGAGACAATCGGTGTTGCGACCAGTTGCTTGCGGGTCTCTGTCCCCTGTTCTACTCTGCGCACATTCAAAACTTAGACAGCTTGTATATCCTTATGGCCTGCACGACTTGAACCATTCTGCAGCTTTCAGTCTAGAAGTGCCGACCCAACTGCTAGACAGTCACCCACAGCACTGACAAGAGCCCCTTCAGCCAGCCGGCCAGCCGGTGTCCAACGGGTTCATCACTTACAACCCAGTACAACTCGTAACGCATGATGCTTACTCTGCCATACTCGAGAGCATGACTAGGGCAGCGGCTGTCTCACTCAGTAGCTGAGCTGAGCACTCCCAAACCACGGAACACTTTCTTGAAACAGAAATCCTGCCTCCTGAAAGTTAACACCCTACGTAGGAATATGTAGAAACCCGAAACCTTGCAACCCCTGAACCGAAACCCTGAAATCCTGGAACCATAAAGCCTCAAAAGCAGCCCGCCTTCATCAAGCTCGGGGTCTGTGCCAAAGTTTGAATCCTATACCAAGCAAGCACAAACGGAATGCAATCTCCTTGCTGGGTAGAAGTCACCGCTAAGCATTGTTATTGCGATCTGTTGGAACACACCGCCCGGAACCCTCACGAAGTTTACTTGAAGACAACCCGGGAGCTGCTAAAATCTTCTCTCAATTGCGATGAAAAATCCGAAATCCGGAAACCCAACACCCTGAAAGTCTAAAGGCCGGAAGCCGCAAAGCCAGAATCACTGAAACCCTGAAACTCCGGAAATTCTGAAAGGTCAACCACCCCAAAAGATTGAAGCTCTGAAACACCAACACCTGTACAACCCAAAAACGAAACCCTGTCAGAGCCTTGGCCGACCGATTCTTCCACAGGCCACCGTATCGGTAGTGAGGGTGACTGGGCCGCAAGGCTTAGATGGACCAGGTCTTTGTTTGCTTTTGTGCTCTAGGGATTCTGGGTTCGGGGTTGGGTTTTGTTCTGTCTCGAGATTATAGGGCATCGTGCACCTTGAAGGATTTAGGGTTTCAGGATTGAGGTTCCGGGTTGGTGACCCTATAGATTGGGGTTTTCGAAAGGCGCCTCTGCACGAGGTAGCCTAAGCTTTTGCTTGGTCAACTGTTGCGAGTTTGTCTGAGTGTGTTCATGCATGCTTCTCCGTTTGGGATCAAGTGCTCTTCCATGGGTAGTTCATCTTTCACCCTGTGTAGATGCGTCTGTTAACTAGCGCCTTTGCCGCATTTACCTACTTATTAACACACCAGGTGCTCATGCTATTTTCCGATCTGGCGTAGACATTAGCTGGCGGTCTAGAGTTCGGCAGAACACCTTTTTCTGCCAAACTCTTTGGCGTTTGAGGCTGGGTTCAAATTACAAGGTAAGCTCCTACTACGCGACGATGCGACGGTGGTTCACCTGCGAATGAATGGGAGTCTTCAATGTATGACTGTATGACAAACTCTGGAAGTTCTAGAAGGCGCAAGTGTTCGTGAGCATGGAAATCACAGAAGCCGAGGCTCTGAGACTCTGAAGAGCACAAGTTGGGCAAAGCCGATGCTCTGTCCGACGGATGCACTGAAAGCTAGGACGCACCCGCCAGGTCTCAGACATCCCTCAAGCAAAGACCCCAAAGGGGTTTTCGACAGGTGAACAAGCATCTATACTATTGCTACCTGTACAACCTTAAACTGCTCCAACTGCTTAGCTGAGCTGTGTCTACCCATACAGACGACCTCTCAGCGCAAAGCCTTGACTCCCTCAGAACCTAAGGCTAAGCCCTAAACCTTGATTAATTAAACCCAGTCATAAACAAGTGCGAGACCCTGAATTGCGCGACAGCTCGAAAACTGTTAGAATTGAATTTTGTCGTAGCACCTGTGGACAACCGATTAGCATCTGCAGTACGATCAGACTTTCGCCAGTTGTGCTTCTTCGATAGAAGCAGAGAAAGACAAGAAGATCAAGCCAGACACATACAAGCAGAGCAGCAATGTAAGGTCACGACAGACCACGTAACTATGCCGTCCAGCCTCTGGGGCTCGCGCGACGCATCGCCATCCGGAACTCCACCGGATGCTTTCTTCCAGCAGCGGCCACAAAGCCTCGAGGGGAGTGAGACCCTTAGCTTTGTGAGTGCTACTAATGGTCTCTTGCAGACCGACTGTGCACCGAGGACTCGACCTAAAGCCAAAAACACCCCCCCCCCCCCCCCAAGAGCCCGTTCAGTGAGAACAAAAAATCTGCAGCGCTCCAAAGGGCTGTGAGGAATGCTGCTTTCTTTGGATAGAAGAGGCCAGCTCAAGCCCTTAAACTCATGTCCAAGCGCGATCTGGAGGCCCGCCAGGCCACCCCCATGAGTCCAAACCCTCAGCACTGTGACGGGAAGACGAGAGGCAGGACAAAGCACAAACGAGACGACACTGACTGTGTAAGGAGTATGACTTCGATCACGACTCTTACAGGCGGAAGCACACAGTGCATCCAAAATGTGAACAACACCATGGCGAGAGCACGATTTCTTGAGGCAAACGCACGGGACGGTAGCGGGAAAACAAGTCGAGAGGGACTGTGGAAAGAACGTGATGATAGTCGTTAATGTGCACGGCGTGCTTCTACCGGACAGCGACCTGATCCCTTACATAACGTATATAACTCTGAACTTAAGAACCCGGCAGCCTTGCCGCACCTTGGGAATAAACAAACCACTTCTTCGTCCCATGAATGTGAAGAACAGGACTGGCTTTCGAGCAGGTGATCTTGGTGTGAGGCATGTGCCACTTCTGGGAGATGTCGATGCGGCATCGAACAAGCCTGGGCTGTTTGCGCAGCCATTCCCTCCCACAGATCAGATGCCAGTTTCCAGCCTTGCTTGGATCTGTTGCTTCAGCTGCACCGGTCAGCATGATCCCATACATAAGAAGCACTCATCTCTCCACCTGAACCTATGACTGCAACATGCCAAGACCCCGAAACTCACCAATCAACACCGAAAGTTCTAAGCCAGCAACAAACTCTGCCTTTGAACGAGGCCCTGAACTGTGAACCGACCTGTGTAAGAAAATCAATTCGTAAATGCAGTGCATGTGCCAAGGCCCGGTCAAGTCGACGGGCCGCTGGCAGAGAGTACAGGGCTTTCGCTTCGCTGCGGAGCGCTCCTGCCGAGTTGGAGTAGCGGAAACGCTAGTCTGAGTCCTCCAAAACTGCCCAAGGCACTGTGCCGTGAAGACGCCGCACCCCGAATTTCGTGTGTCAGATACGACGGCTAACTCCAGAAACTCCAGAAAGCCCCTGCTCTTGCTAAGACTTTAGCGACTTCGGGGGGCGAGAGCACCATTTCCAAACACACTCCCATATACGCCAGAATGTGCACAGGGGCTGCGGAACGTACTTGCGACGCGCACTTTGCGAGGACACAACCCAAGTACTATGGTAACACTGTTCGGGGCATAAGGAGAATCACATCAATGATCAAGGCGATACGAGGGTGGCTGTGCGGTTCAATGGACTCCTGACGAAACCATAGGAGGCCTTTCCGAGTATGAGCCAGACCATCTCTACGGGTTCACGACAAGAACCCTGGTTCAAGCTCTCGGTGCTATCTCGAGCACATCGGGACGACCTGTTTGGAATAGAGACTGCCTGGACACTTGTCAGACTGCATAAACAATCTTTTCTGCACGAGCTACTAGTGGGGCTCGTTGGCACAAGGTACGGGGCACAATAACAACCAAATAGGCAGTACGATGCTAGCATACTTCGCAACAGGGCCGCAGCCCCGTACAAACCCCCAAAGTTGTCACCAGGTGGAAGCCTCTGGAGACTGAGCGCGCCTGGCTCGGCGTTCGGCCTCCGGAAGACTAGGGAGACGTTTCTGCTGCGACGATGCCGTAGCGCAGAGACCATACAAAGCGACTCGAACAGAGAATCTGAATGGCAGCAACATTGATCATAACGACAGGGCCCAAATGAGCTGTGGTTCTTATTCCTGTTTGTGTGGAGAGAAATAAGGAAACCTTCCGCAGGACCCTTCCGCCTGCTTCCGCGCCTGAGGGTTTAGCTTCCGCGGGCCTCAACCTTACTCGTAGCTTCCGCAGAGCTTCCGCTCCTTCCGCGCACACAGTCCCGATCAAATTTTTTCGGCTGAAACGATTGAAAATTCCAGGCCTACTCATAATGAAAGAAGCGCGAAAACATACCACGGCTCAAATTTCTTCATAAAGGCAGGTCGTAGAGCCCCAGTTCTCATGGAACGACCGAAAAGGGCCAGCTGCTGCGATGCTTTGGGAGTGCCGACTTGATGAGAAGGCTGTGTCTGATGTAGATGTAGCTGCGCTGAACGAAATGAAGTCACACACGTGGTGCTTTGGCCGAGAGCTCAGCAAGGGCATCCAACCACCCGGCCACTTGCGGAGTTTGTCGTGTGCTCATGATTTCAAGCAGCACTTGGAAGGCATCCAACTACCCAGGGACCCAGCAGCCTGCAGAGTTTGACATGTGGCCACGCGCTCAACCAGCGGTTGGAAAGCATTCTGAGTTTGGATTTGGGCTCGTGCAACCGGAGCCTGGAGCGCATCCAACTGCCCAGTAGCCTGCAGAGTTCGACGTTTGGCTATGCATTCAACCAGAGCCTGGTGGGCATCCAGTTTCCCAGCAGTCTGCAGAGTTTGATACTTGGCCATGCGATTCAAGCAGCGGTTGGAAGCCCTCCAATCAACCAGCAGCCTGCTGAGTTTGACGTTTGGCTATGTGTTCAACCACAGCCTGGAGGGCATCCAGCCACCCAGCAGCCTGCAGAGTTTGACGTTTGGCTGTGTTCAACCAGAGTATGTGTTCAACCAGAGCCTGGAGGGCTGCCAATTACCCGACAGCCTGCTGAGTTCGACGTTTGGCTATGTGTTCAACAGCCTGGAGGGCATCCAACCACCCAGCAGCCTGCGGACTGTGATGTTTAGCCTGGAAGGCATCCGACTACCCAGGCCTACAGAGTATGACGTTTAGACACCATTTCAACCAAAGCCTGAAGGGCGTCCAACTACCCAGTAGCCCGCAGATTCTGACATTTGGCAACCGTTTGCAACCAGAGCCTGAATCGTGGGGACATGATTTGACCAGAGCTTGGACATGCATCATCGGCGAGCTCTCATGGTGCTGCCCGAGGGCTTCAATGACGCGGTAACCGGATGTCAAATTCAGGTCGATCCGGTGTTGAGCAAACACTCCATGTCACTGCACATGGTAGTGATTGGCAAGGCTGCGTTTCAATGTCAGGGATGTGGGGCGTGCAGGTTGGATTTTACCCCTTGAGGAATATGTTCAGGCTGAGGTTTCTGGTTCGCGCTTGCATGTGCCTGTGCCTGTGTTTAGTTTCCAAGTGGCACTCATGGGTAATGCCATGCCGAATGACTCTGGAGGAATGCCGCTTTAGTTTCGATGCTGGCTCTGAATTTGGGTTGCTTCAGCGTAATTGTTTTGGAGCGTTGGAGCGTGGGGTTACGGCTGTTGGCTCTTCGAGCTGCCGGTTTATACTCTCGTTCGCCCCTATTGGTTGCCTGATTACTGCTCAGCCCATAAGGCTAGTGCAAACAGGCCCCAGCGGCATCAGTTGAATTCATTTGTGGGAGAGGCGCGTCCGACCGGACACACGCCTGTGGAAGAAGAACTTCATAACGACGCGCCACACACATGACGTCGAAGTACTGTTGTAAGAGCGGACAGCGGACTGACCCCAGGGTTCGTAGGATTGACGGTGCCCCGTCCGGGGGCCCCAACCTTCAAGGCCTTCTTGCGCTCGCGCCGCGCTGCCTTGGCATCCTCATGGGAGATTGTTTGCGGGGCCTAGAGTAGGGGTTGGTTGGGTACAGCAAACGTATAGGTTTTTAAGCGATTGCATCTGAGAGTATCTGCAAGTCAGACTGTCCACGGAGCTTCGGGAAGCTACACCAACAGCCGCCTGCTGAAACTTAACACCTCAAGCCCTAAAACCCTAAGTCCCAATCCTAATTATTGTGGAAACCTTATGGGAACGAACCCATACAGAGCCCTAAACCTTAGCTCGGCCCTAAACCCTTGCATAACCCTAAACCTCTGAACCCCTAAAACCTCACAAAGGCTGAAGGATGTGATCCCTCAGAGAGGGTCCCAATAGTTGTAAAGCTCCAGCGCAACTCACGAGATGGTTGTGAGCATGGTCGGGAGTTGAGTCGGATTCTACGGGGTTCTATGAGCTCCCACAACGATTACAAACCCATGATGCCATTTCTGATGTTCCGAGGTCTACCTATACAGACAGCACTGAGGACGTAGGTTGAGCGTTTGAAGATCTCCGGTGGACCCAAACCTAAACCCGAAAAGCGGTCCCGGCCTTCGCAGAATCGGCTTCAGCCGGCTCCTGGCGGCTCAGACCGATCGGCACTTCCAAGAAAGGTAAAGATCTCCCATGCGCGGAAATGCCAGCGTTGCCGCAAGGAAGGGGGATGGGGGCTCAGAAAAGCTTCGAGCTTATGAAGCCCTCAAGCAAAAAATCGAAAAAAGAGCCTCCTCGGACGTCAACTGCTCCAGGCTCAGGACCTGACGCCAGGATCTGGCTACGCAGAGGTTTTGCAATTTTGCCCGTTGGCCTCCGAGAAAAAGGGACACTCTCTAAGTCTCTAAGTTCAACGCTGAGTCGACCGCTTCGTGTCCGTCGCGCCAAACTGGTTTTTTCGCCACGCACGCTGGGTCCAGGATCAAATTGAAACAAACACTAGATCCCATGCCCGGAGACCCGGACGAACGCCTGCGTGCGCTCCCGAACGAGGTGAAGCCTAGCTAACTGGAGGACGAGTTCCCTGAATCCTCAACTGGTGTGGGCCTGCGAGGCGACTGAGACTTGGCCATGCCGGCATTAAAGTTTGTACAGGCAGATGTCGCTGGCACGCGTCCTCCTCCTGCATGAAGCAGAAACGGAACAGCCGTCGTCAACTATCGGCTTCCTGTCCCCCATGCAGGGAAACCCAGGTTCGGAGCTCGAACTTCGGACGCTCCCTAAGCCGTGCCGCAGCAAAGCTCGATCCGACCCCCTGTTCTTCAAGCGGATCGCACCGAGAGGGTGGAGCGGTGGGAAAACAAGAACTGGTGATTAATCTGATTGCCAGCTAGAGCTCCTCGCTTGCGAATTTCTCAGGCTTCTCAAGAGTGAAGAGCTTTGCAATGCTGCCGCTGACCTAGAATCCAATACTGGTCTTTGGGGATGCAGCAACAGCTACAGGTCCAGTCCCGACTCCTACATTCTCGCCAGTCCGGAAGCAGGCCCCTCATCGAAACCAGGCATACTGCTAGGCGTGCAAGTCATAGGCTGCCTTCGAGGTGCTTCGTAGGTTCCCTTGACCGTCTTCATGCCGGCCTCCTGTAGCTTCTGGAGGTACAAGGTGCCTCGGGAGTTCGGGAACGCATAGGCTCTGGACAGCAACCTGTCGGCTGAACTGGTTGGGATCAACAGTTCAACACAGATCAAGAGCTGCGACAAGAAAGACAACTGGGATCCAAGCAGAACTGTTTCTTTGGATCCGGCTTGCCTCGCGGCTGCAGAGTCGTGTTTCTTAGCCCGAAGTCTTGTTCTTGGGTCGCCCATTATTGTAATACCTCGTCTCTGCGCCAGTCTGGAATTGGAGCTGCAACGCCGAAAGTCCCGACTACTCGACCTTACTTTCGAGGCCTTGCTTTTCCAGCTGCTCCAGAAGCATTCCGACGATAATCATGGCGGCCTCAAGTCGGGCCGGGGTTTGCCGGACGATTTCAGTAGTTCCTGCTGTGCTGCACTTCAACATGCTATGATTCAACGGAACACCAACAACATCGTTGCTACGGTCGCTCTCACACAAACCTCGCAGACTCAATTTGATGGCGGCGGCGTGAACAAATGGTGCCATGATCCGTAAGCTAGCGCCGCATACGGCTTGACACCGTCGTTTACACACCTATAGGGGTCAGTGACCATTGCGTACGCATCCGTCACGACAAAGACGGCAGCCTGCTCCCAATCTTGTGCGATAATGCAGGCTTGCCCAAAATGCGGGATGTGCGGCCTCACATGTCTCGTCTGCAGTTCCCAGCAGCATCGGGTAAGAGACTTGCTCCTGAGCTCTCGATGCTTTTGAAATTTTGCTGTTCTCGACGGCTTCGAAGGTGACGGGGTCCGGGGACCGGGGAAGTTCATCAACATCATACTTCTCTCGAGAGGTCTTTCGGATGCTTGGTGGATCGGGCGCAGCAGCCGATATGCAAGGCCCAATTCTCAGCCGTGCTCGACTTTGCTCGACCTTGAGCCTTCGAAATGCTCCGTGCAGAGGCAGAGGCACAACCTGAAACCCGAAACCTTGCAATGGACCGGGTCTGGCTTTTACGGTGCATCGTGCATCCTGGAACTTTTTGCGAAACCTTCTGGGAAGCCTAGAGACCTGTCGGCCTCTATTTAGGCAAGCTGCAACAGCCTTGACTTCGAGGAGTCCGTTGGTGGCCTGGGGAAGGCAAGCACTGACTGTGGATGTCTTTGGGCTTCGGGACATAGGAGGTTCGGCGTCTGTAGCTTTGTACTCAAAAAAAGGTTCAAACCCCACGAGAGGTTCAAGCACCACAAGTGGCTGCAAGTGCTGCAAGTGGTTCAAACTGGAAGCAACGCTCTGAACTGGCAACCTCGAGGGTAAAGTAAACCTGACTCGAAGTGACCGAAGTGATGCTTGGCAACGAGTCCGGCCTCCACCAAATCCTCTACTGCTCTGTCCTGGCATGTCACGTGGCAAAGGAAACAAACAACTAGACTCAACTAGACTTGTTTCATGCAGGGGCTGAAGCAACTGGTCGCTTAACTGATGAAAGATCCAGGCCATCCCGGCCGGGCGGGCTTTGGGAAGTTGCTTTTGAGTTCAACTTCGCCCGCCTGGGCCAAGGACAGTGGGTTCACTGGCAATCGGTCCGGCTCGCTGCCGGCCAAAGCAGTGTAGCTGTCCACCTCCGAGCTACCATGTCTTGGGTTTGGGGCTTGCAGAGTCTTGGCCGCCCCCTCAGGCCCTCAGGTGTGCATGTCAGAAAGCGTGGTTAGAATGCTCTGATTGTCTTGTCAGAGCTAGCTGCGACAGCCCTCATGGACCACGACCGCCCTGAACTGCATCTGAAATTGCTGCTGCTGCTGCTGCTGCTGATCTTTTTGATGAACGAGGCTGTGGCGATGATGATGATGATGATGCTGGTGGTGGTGGTGGTGGTGGTGGTGCTGCTGCTGATGACGATGATGTTGATGATGATGACGACGATGACGACCGACTGACAGCTTCTGACTGTTCGAACTCCTTGCCAGGGCCCCGGCCGCCAACGTGAAGAAAGGCATCTTCTCCCAAACCTCACTTTATCCAGGTGCCGGGGTCGCAGGAACGGTTTGCGGGAGCTCGGCTTCGGGTTTAATTAGCGTGGACTCCCACAACTTCACAGCCTAACGCAAAGATTATATGACCACGGCCAAACGCTGTGGCTCCCCGTCACAAGCCCCATATACTCGCTAAAGGCGAACATGCCATGCCGCACGGCCCTGCAGGCTCACGACGTGCGGCCAACACCCTCAAGCCTTCTTGCTGGTGGGGCTGTGCAGTCTCGAGGCTTAAGAACTCTTCAGGCCCATGGCAGAGTCGAAGCTGAAAGAAGCCATCTCCCGAAAACATAAAATTGCCCATTCACATGCAGCTATGGTTACCCCCCTCTCCAAGACCTACCTTCATGTAAATTTCTATTCGTTCAAAAACCTTGATCCAAGGCTCTTTATATATAGAAGCCTCATGGAAGCACCGTATATTTCGATATATTCTCGATACTTTCTATCTTACAGCATACTTGCTCTTCATGAACCGATATTAAACTGAACCATAAGCGGCTGGCCAGGATCCGGTCGGGTACAATTTATGCGGCACCAGGCACGGTATTTAGTTTCTCCATATGCATGCATAGTAGGGTATAATATACCATAGTATGGTATAGCGCACCAACATAATATAGGGCAGAAAAGTCTAGTCACCAGACTCTAGTGCGGCATTATGCAGTATATTCTAGTTCATCTTATAAGTGTAGCAGTGTAGCACAGTATGATAGAGAACAATATCGCATACTATACTGCAAATATAGGTTATAGCCGTCAAAACTGTTGAGAATGAATACTTTGCACTGAAGGGAGAAGGTAGACATAAGCGATTTTATCTAGTCTACTATGTTACAATATACTGTGATATGATGCAGCACGGTATAGTGCAGTATGTTACACTATAGCATAGCCCTTGTTATGCACTATACTTTCGTGTGGTATAGCACATACTAAATAGTATACCATGGTCTAGTACAGCACTAACACAGCATGGTGAAGGATAACACAATGTTGCATAGCTTAGCATAGCACGATATAGTTTGTGCACCTGCATAGTTTAGTGCATTCTTGTCTAGAGTCTGGTGTACTATTGTGCCGTATAGTCTAGTTCAATATATAAGCCAAGAGCGTAGCTCATGGAAAGAGCGATGTACGTTTATGAACCGAATATTCGGTTATCATGCGCACGCCATATCCACTTCAAGGCTCGGGGTCGACAGCACAGGGTATCTGCTCGCAGTACTCTCGGTACCAAAATGGCGCGGTATATCGAAGGTAGGAATTGGGGCTCAGTACTCGTGGTGCCAGTGTCGCTGTGATTTCCTTGGTAGTGCGCATTTGTTATGTTTACATCTACGGTGAATAAAATCAGAAGTTGGAATTCCCATTAGACTAGTCTTCTTTCAGTAGACTAATCGAAGGGCCTTCACTTTGTTGTATTGCTTTTACGTATGATGTACTACAGCATATAAAGAAAGGTTGCTAGAACGTAGTGTTGCTTTTAGTTTTAAGACACTATACTCAAGATCAGCGTTGACTCCACAATCTAGTGTAGCGTCCTGCAGTCTCGATCGTATAATGTAATACTGTTCAAAACAGGAAAATACATGACAGTACACTCGAGCACAAATGACTATTATCAAGGACTGTATACTACTGTGTCGACTACTATACAACTATGTAGTACAATCTAATCCGGGGCTTGGTATACTGCAGCATAGCTTGCTATAGTCAAACATAGCCTCGTCTAGCACTACCATTGCATAGTATAGGATAGTGCATTGTTGCATAGTTTCGCACGGTGTAACACATTTTAGTCTATTTTAGTATAACGGAGGCACCACTATAGTCTGGTATGGCAGAGCAGACTAAAGCATATAAACTTTGAGAGCCGTATTATCATGAGCTCTCCAGCATAAGCCCAATGGAATTCCACATCTCCGCATTTGCAGCCCCAATGTGTTGAGCTTTCGGGCCTTGGACTCAGCACATATGGAAATGTGGCATTCCATCGAGTTTTCCATTATGTACTTGTTACTGAAATAAGCATCTGAATATTGCACCCCTGGATCCTAGATCCAAGATTGCAGAAAAAAGTTTCTTCGCTCCGAAGAAGGGATCGGGCGCCAATATTAACACATAAAACACTTAACTATCTTAATATTGCGCCGGCCGGATCCAAGATGGATCCAAGAAACTTTTCACTGCAATCTTGGATCTTGGATTCAGGGGAGCCCAATATTAAATTATCAGGCTGTGTAATACTTTAATATTGCCCCCTGGATCCAAGACCCAATATTGCCGGAACAAGTTTCTTGGATCCGTTGCGGGCATCACGCGCCAATATCAACATGTTCAAAAACTGTAATACTGTAATATTTTTCATATTGGGCCCGTCGGATCCAGGATGAATCCACGAAACTTTTCACTGCAATCTTGGATCTTGGATCCAGGGGCCCAATATCAACATATTGAGTTTGTTATATCTGAATATTGCCCCCTGGATCCAAGATCCAAGATTGCAGAAGAAAGTTTCTTCGATCCGAAGTAGGGATCGCGCACCAATATTAATAAACACATAAACTACGTAAATATCTTAATATTGGATTCAAGATGGACTCCAGACACTTTTCACTGCAATCTTGGATCTTGGATCCAGGGGAGCCAAAATCAAAAACAGTAGTTTAAACCAATATTGTCAATATTGGGCCATCGGAACACAACTAGTGTAGAACAAACAAGCGTCCGCAGCGTCTCTGTCAAGCTGAGGACAGAGGCGCGAGGTCTGCAGCTTAGGGCTGAGGTCCAGGCATTCAGGCTGGGACAATTCGGGACATGGAGGCTAGCTCTTGCGCTCATGCTTCCTGGTTTTTTGCTTCTGGCAAGTTGCGGAGATGAAGGCGTGGCGGCCGCCGCGCAGGACGCGGCCGATCTCTCGCAGCGCCTTGACCTTGTCTTGTACAAACCTCGGTTCCGGTGCTCCCGGCCCGGAAGCTGAACAGTGCTGAAAGGCTGAAATGCTCGTAACTTACATAGCTACTGAGAGCCACTGGCTCTGACTGCCTGAAGTGCTGGTCTCCACACTGATCAGCTCCGGGTTGATTTGAGGATGTTCAGAGACTGTGGCTGTTTTCGCTTCCGAATCCTTCAATGCTCTGGGCCAAGCAACATGAGCACGTAACTCATCGAAACCGCATCGAAGCTTTTTGGCTTGAATGCAGAGAGATCGTCCGCCGACGCCACGCTGAAATCGACATTACCTGCTTCAAGGGTGAAGGCATGGCTTCCGGTTGCTTCTGAGCTTCGGGCTGTGTCTGAGTACATAAGGCCATACTCGGATTCTACATTGGCCTTTCTAGTCATCATTGCCATGACGCCCCTTCCCCTGCCTGGACTTGGAATTGAAACAAAAAGCAGATGCAGTGGCTGATCGGTTTCGAGTATCCCTGCGTGCTCATGCTCAGACTGGGCGCCACACCAACGCCTTTCGCACGCTTCCTAGCTTTGCTGATCATTGCCTCCTCAGGGGCGTCTGCATGAATGCTTGTGACGGATTGGATCTGAATCTTTTCAGTTTAGGAAAAGTTCTGCAGTCTTGAACATTAGCTGCCAGGAGATGCATGTGTCCGGAGTTGTGCATGCTCTTCTCTTCTCCGTCCCAAGATGCCTGGTGGTTTGCGCGCTACAGCTGCTTATTTATAGTAGAATGACAGCAGAGAAGGCAAGGTTTCAATTCCACCCGTCGTCTCACCGTCACCCGAGCCTCAGGTCGACAACTCCTTGTCTGGCACTGGCGCTCCGTTCGTTGGCCCCCATAGCCCATGACTCTCAGGCCCCAAACACAGGACGCCGAACTTGCGACCCACCCTACTTCTGCCTGCAAGTCCGTCGCATGGACACGCGCCTTCGGCAAGGCTTGGGCCTTGGGGCACAGGTGCTGGTCAGTCGTGCAAAACCGGAGAGGTCGATTTGCGCGATGCGATGTGTGTTTGTGCATCAACGGAAGTGGGACTTGAAGGACCTGCTCGGGGGAATGACTAGTGAATAGGGCTTCCAATGTAGATCTGGAGGCAGCATCTTTTGTTCGTAAGCCGGAACGAGGCATCAGCGCAACTCCAGCACAACCGAAGAGATTCCACCACGGCACGATCAGCAGTGCCGGCTGCCCGGGGCCGGTTCCGAGGTCCAGCACATCCACTGCCTCCAGAACTTTTGGGATTCCAGCTTTCACATCACGCAAGGAGGAACAGGGGCCCGAAGTTTTCAGAGCCCATCTCTGCTGCAAAGAGACCGATGCCGCCAGCACGGTTTGGAAACTTTACTATCCTATGATTGCTTTTAGCAACTCTGATCAGGTGCTGGAATCTTCTGCCTTCTCTTGGACGATCTTCTCAGTAATCTTTTCGCACATCGGCCAGTTCACCAAAAACAGCTTCTCGTAGATGTTCCTCGGTTGAAACCACTCCACTGAAAAAGTAACTCTTGTAGCCAGAGCACCTTTCTGCGGACTAAGCATTTAGCGTGGTGGAGTGGTCGCCTTTAACTTTCGAGGCTCGGATGAGCTTTCGTGGTGTTGGCGATCGTGCCAGTTGCTTTCCACGAAGTGCAGGCTCAGGTGGCATGAAGCTCGAGGTACAAGCAGCGTGAATTGAGTTTAAACGAGTTCACAACACGCTGCTTTCATTGTTCATGCCTGAAACCTCGATCAGAGTCTCCATGCCGGATGTGGCACCTATGAAGCAGCATGCTCGGCAACCATTGAACCTCCCAGATCCTCCCAGAGCCTTGATCTTTCAAAGCTGTGACTGTTAGCCCGTGAAGGTTAGCCAAATTGAAGGCGTTCCCAAACCGAAGACCCAGACGGAAGTCCACAACCTCGAGAGTCCCAAGGCTTCGTTACTCAGAAGAAGTCGAAGCCTGAAAACTCTGGGCAAATCGAGGAGCGCATCGATGGCACCCGAGGGAATCAAGCTCAGCCACCACAACAGCAGCAACACCATGGCGCTGAGGGGTGCTCAAAAGGCGGTGGCGGAAAATCTCGTCTACTTGTGGGCAGCGTCTGCAAGGTTCGCTGGTCTGACCTGACTTCAATCTGCAGCACAAGAGGAGTTTGGGGTCTCTGTGGGTGAAAGGGGAGAAGGCAAATAGAACTTATTCAGGGCACCACGCAAGCAAAGCATCCAAGTTCATGACAAAGAACTGCGGCAAGCCCGCCTCGTCCAACCGGCTGTTGCCAGCTTCTGCCTAAGTTCAGGCGTTCAGGAGGCTAGAGGTTTGGCTTTAATCCAAATCTAAATCTCAGGAGCCTGTGCAAACTCGACGCATAAGCCTTGAAACTGACAATATTCCTCCCCCGTACACCCCACGACCGCGTGCATGCGCACAGACAGACAGACAGACAGACAGACAGACAGAGAGACAGACAGAGACAGACAGAGACAGACAGAGACAGACAGAGACAGACAGAGACAGACAGACAGCCAGGCAGGCAGGCAGGCAGACAGACAGACACACACACACACAGACACAGACACAGACACAGACACAGACACACACAGACACAGACACAGACACAGACAGACACAGACAGACACACAGACAGACACACACCCAAAAAATGCCTTGGAGGTTTGTACTGAGTCGCTGGCCTGCCCGTCTCGGTCTCCAGCGTATCCTCGCGAGGTCGCGGGCGATACGCCTGACATTCGCGAGCCGAAAATTCGAGCTAACGGTCAAAACCAGCCGCTAATGATCGTGACTGCTATTGCACATTTCCCTTCTTGCGGCAATGGCTAATTACTGAGATTGTCTGGCTCGACAGCTAAGACATGACTCTGTCAAGCTCACGTTCGACAGGTCGCTTTATGACTTGCTCACCTCCACTCGTGCGGCCGCGGCTGGGCGCTGGCTTAGTCTGTCGGCTCCACTGCGGCTGACATTCTGGCCAGCGGGGCACTGGCAGTTTCCATTTTGTTCTGGTCATTCTTTCGCTTGTGTGCTGCTTCTGGGTGTGGCGGAGTGGAGTCAAGGTGCTGTGGTGAAGAAATGTTCTTACCCACATGCGAAGCCACACCACGGCAAGCTCTTCCAGCAAAGTGTTTCACTCGCAGCTTCAATGGAAACCCAAACTCTGATTCCAATCCCCTGACGCTCAACACAACACATCCCAAAGCATTTGCAGCCTTGCTCTTCAGACCGTGTAACTGGATCAAGCTCATCCACCACCTCACATGATATGCACCCTTGCAAATGTCTGCGAGACCACGGCTGTGACGATCCATCCTATGGTTTTGAGAGCTTAGGACCTTCAGCGAAAAACAGCATTGCAAGCAAATTGCAGTTCTTGCTTGTCATTTCAACGAGCCCAACCGCAAGGGCGATCTGTCACCAACCGCAACCATCCTCAAAGCGTCAGAACCGCACTCATGCCTCAGACCGGCATAGAGCCGTGATGGATGGAATGTTGAGGACTGACCCTGGAAGTGAAACCTCGTCAGACGTGGCTTCGCTGTCCTCGGACTTTGCAGCCCGGGTCACCTGCCATGCATGGAGCGCGAGCTGAGCTACGATTTCGGGTGTTGCCGCACGCGCGGGTCTACCATGTCTGTTCTGCATGGGTGAATGAGTGAGCAAGTGCTCAGGTGAACGAGCAAGGCGGGGAGCTAATTGGACAGAGAGGGAGCGAGAGCGAGAGAGAGAGAGAGAGAGAGAGACCCAGAGACTGGGAGAGTTGTCTCTCCCGCCCACCTACCTACACGCGATCTGAAACAACTCGCTTTCGAATCTTTCCGTTACTCTGTCTGTGCCTATCCCCCTCTGGACTCTCTACTAGACATATGGAGGAGGCCATCAGTTCGCCCCCTGCGGTTGGTCTCACTCAGGCAAGACTTCGTTCGGCTGATGGTATTCGGTTCTAGACTCTGACTCTGCTGCTGCTGGTGCTGCTAGAATCTGACTCTGACTCTGACTTTCTTTCTTTCTGCAGGGCTTAGGACTCTGACTCTCTCTCTCTCTCTCTCTCTCTCGTGGCTTCTGGGTATGTTCATCACGTGCCAAGGAAAGCATCAACTCACTGCCACAGGGAAATCTTCACAGCAATATTTGCCAGGCGAGCGGAAGTGATCGCCGCAGCGGCTCCTGCGAAAGGCGCAGGGCTTGGGGTCAATGCCGAACTTAAGGCTGACTGAGCACTAGGTGCTCCTTGAGCATGGTGTTGGATTTAAGTGCGGCAATAAGACAGCAGGCCTTGTACCCTTCGGGCTTCTTTGCATCGTCATCACCATCATCACAATCATCTTGCACATCAGTGTGAGGCTTGAGACTTACAACGTGAGGTCAGAACGTGCCCCGCAAGCTAGAACGGCTTCCAGAACAGCCCATGTTGAGTGACAGTACAAGATCAAACAAGCGTGAACGAATAACCAAGGAGCTTCAGCAGAATGGGCTATCAAACTTGCATGCATCAACTCGAAGAGCTCGCCAAAGGAAAAATGGAATGAAGCAAGCTTCGGCAACGACACACTGCAACTCTGATGTACGCTTTCCCGTGCTCCTGCCACCATTCCGCCAGCGATTTTCTTGCCCGCCGAGCTCTTCGCACGACCTCACTTTGCAAGGTGGCTGTGCTATCCGGTGCTCTCTAAGTATACATATAAACGTACATGCGCATGTACATGCACATCCATCCATGCATGCATGCGCACATACACGTTTATTTACATATATACATAGCACTACATACATGCATGCATACTTACACGCGCGCACACACACACACACACTTTTATCCATCCATCCATCCATCCATCCATCCATCCATGCATCCATGCATCCGTCCATCCGTCCATCCATCCATCCATCCATCCATGCAATCATGCAATCATGCGACAGACATACAACGTGTAGTGGAGTGGAGTAGGCAGTAGGGAGAAGGTATTGGTCGCAAGTGGCAGGTAGCAGGCAGTGGGCGGGAATATTCATTAGTTAGCAGCAGCAGCAGCAGGAGGAGGAGGAGCAGTAGCAGTAGTCGTCGTCGTAGTAGTGGTAGCAGTACTAGGAAGAAGTTATCTATCTCCTTGTTGTTATTCTGGCATTTTTTTGGGGGGGCGATAGCAAAACGAGCTTTCCAGCCCGTACCCCGGTTCAAAAGAACCCTTCGACGTTGCATCGCTACACCCTTCGTGCCGACGCCTGCCCTGAAGCGTGGCACAATCACCTACGGCAAAGTGCGTGGGAAAGCGAGCCGCGCGGCGTGAGATTAAAGCGATCCCGGAACTGAATGCTTGATGCAGCAGTTTCATAATCCTTGGAAAGGGCTTCTGCAAGCCCTTGCTGCAGGCAAATCGGACACTAAATCTGGCATGGAGCATTCCCTATATTCTCTGGGCCGCCCGGCGATTTCCGTGTTTCGCATCATCGGGTGCCGTGGGGTTATCTGCAGCACCTCGTCACCGACCTGGCACGGGTCTGGAGTGTAGACCCTGAGGGCAAGGAAACTGAGTAGAAACACCAAGCATGAAATGGCATACTAATTTAGTGTTCGGCATGTCTCTACCTTGGACGTGGTAGACTTTGACTCGGTGTCGCTTCGAACTAGTAACTATATGCACTTTAACTCTATGGAGGTTTAGTTGGCCGTTAACTTACCAACATTGAAAGGGCAAAGGGCCGATCTCTGAGAATAAGAATTCCCAAAACCCAACCCGACCTTGACCATGGAATCTTCCATGGCGTGCTCCTGGCAAATCGCCGTGATCGGAATTCCTGGTGCGAGCCTGGGAGAGTTGAGTTCGGTTCCTAGGTCCTAGATCCCAAACTCACCCCAGTCTCGGGTCATGGCAGCACCCTTTGCTCCAAATGCTGTTAAGAGTAGCTCCGAGCCTGCAATTTTCGGTTTTGTTTTCCTGTAGCGTGCAGGACGATTACGTTGCTTGGGGACAGCAGGACAAGGGTAAGCTCTGGCACTCGAGGATGAACTCGCCTGACTCGTGCCGTAGACAGGAAAAGCTGGCCACTCAGACAAAGAAGACAACAGGAGCTTGTCTGGCTCTTTTCTTGCTAGGTGCTTGGATGTACATGTAGGTCATGTGCACCCTCTGGGTCTATTCTCTGGCGTGTACTTGATGTTGCACGGCGGGCCGCTTAGAGTCTTGTTGACGGCTGTGCCGACAAAGTCGCCATAGCACGGTACGAGCTATGAGACTATGAGAGGCAGTGCAAAAGCGACAGTGTGCCGGCACGCCAACTCTGCATAAAAGCAGCTGACAGCCTTGCCTTTCCAAATCTGACGTGGCTACGTCAAACTTAGCATTTTATCGATCGGACACTCCCCGGCCAAAGAAACAACTACAACACACCATTGTTGCCAACAGCCCTTTGCCGAGCACAGAGCTCAGATGCATGGCGATGGAGGGTCGCAACCTGCTTGTTTGTCCAGGTATCGATCGTGGAAGGACCCTGCACGTCTGTTGAATCGTCTTGTGAGGGAGTCCGAACATGAACGAGTGAGAACGCAGTTTTCTATGAAAACTGCAAGGTCAGCAAATCCGAAGTAATCGAAACATGTCGAAGAGACTTCACGGGAGGCTCAACCCAAAGTAGAGAAATCGCAATGATCACGAAACTCCGTTACTCTGACAGAATGCTCTGTGGCTTGCAATCTACATCCTCATGCCTGCCTTACTTCCAAGCCGAAAAATTCTGCACCTGCGCAAGAGCAGTGGCCTGGAGCTCACCGGTACCAGTGTCCCAAGGGTAGAAGCTTCGTGGGTCGACCTGGCATTTTTTGCCGAAAGAGGCTACGATGAGCGGTGGCGGGGTGTTTGGTGGCGCTCTGCGTGAGCAGGAAGGGAATGCCAGAGGGTCACCCCACCTCCTTGCACAAGTCCTCCAAGACTCGTGGGTAAATCCTGCTGCAGACGAGCAGTTGATCGAAAATCGAACGCAGGTCGCGGATGTGCTTGAGCTTGGCGCTCTAGTACACATCCGGCGGTTCGGAGTCCTGATCTTGGCATGGGGATTGTCCATGACGATCACACTGTCGAAGAATATGCGAATGGAACCTGCCACCAAGAAAGCTACCGAGCACTAGATCTGGGTGGAGCAGCGGAGGCCAAGCATAAACCTTCGACATCCTTCGACGAAGTTTGAAGAATATACAACCGTCACAGCCATCCTTACCTGACCTTCGCCCCTACTAAGCTCGCAACGGTCATCCGGCAACGTAAATCATCTTCAACATGCGGCATGGCTTCTTGCAGGTTGCAGGTCCAAGGCGTGCTGGTGCCTGCCGGATCCACATTTTCCGAGCCGATGGCAGGCTGCACCTTTGAAGGCTTGAGGACGGCTCTCCTCTGTCCAAGTCTTGGATGGAGATTTCGGGTGCACGAACTATCGAGACGGGGCCCCCGATGCTCCATTGTTGCAGAGACTGTGCTTAAGCCCACAGCTTAAATCTAGGCCCCATGACTCCGACATAGTCACTCTTGTCTAGCCATGTCGAGCTTCAGAGCCCACAACGGCATCTGGACAACTTACACACCCATACACCTCCAAAAGGATTCATCTTGAGACTGCCGGTAAGCCAAAAAACCTAGACTCAGATTTGGGTGAGATGTCAGATTCCTTGCTTTCGAAGTCTTCTTACCGCCTAAGACGCGGAGCGAAATGGCCCGGACCTTTGTCTCAAACACAGAACCCCTAAGGTCTTCTGGACATCGGCTTGCTCGGACCCGCAGACCATACCCGAAAGACTTAACAACCGAACTGAACCGCGTCTGGAAAAAAGGAAATGCTGTGCCACCAGTCCTGTACACACAAGACAGAAAGCTTAAGCAGGTAGCCAAGCACACCCTATATTCACAATCCAACCGGTCGTGACACAAAAACCAATGCACCAAACAAGAAGCCAAGCCGCTCTACTTGAAGCTGACACAAAAGAGAGGGCGTGCCATGTGCACACGCCATTGGTCAAAATGCGTCTTAGACAGAAACCAGGACTCACCCGAACTCAAAATCACCTCCGACCTAAACCGTTCAAGCAGATCAATACCTAAGCTCAAGGCCTATGTACCGTCGCCCTTCGAACCTTTTGCTGCAGGCTTGCATGCAAGGACGCCTGGTAGTTAGCCACTCGTCCGCTACTTAGCAAACCCTAAACTTGCCCTGAACCTACATCGAAATAACCCTAACACACATAACACACCTAAATCATAAAGCCCTTTAAACCGTGAACCCAAACAACATACAGTAAACCATACCGTCTTTTAAGCTTGGCGCTGCCATGACCTGAAGGTTGCGGACTGTGCAGGCCTGGCAGGCCCTGAGCTCCAGGATTTTGGTATGGGATATATATATATATACACACATACATACATACATACATACATACATACATACATACATTACATTACATACATACATATATTACATACATACACACGTATACATACATACATACACACATACATACATACATACATACATACATACATACATACATTATATAGTATATCTTTATAATATTATATAATATGTGTATATATATATACACACGCACACACACACATGTGTATATATATATATATGTGTGTGTGTGTGTGATGATGACGATTTCCTACTATATATACTGCGATATATTGCTAGATATTGCTACATACTACTAGATACTACTAAGTAGTATCTAGTAGACTATATTACTATTTACCAACGTTTCGAAAAGGGCTCTACAAGGAATACTACGAGGGAGTATTCTTACAAAATTTAGGATGGTGCAAGCGTTGCGTGTCTATTTGTTGGCGGATTTTAGCATCTTCTGATGGCATGGGGGGGCCGCACTGTGCACTGCGCAAGGCTTGGACCTGGAAGCTTTACTATGAGGTTGGATTTAGTCCCAGAGGCCCCTAAGTAGTTCCTTTTTATGGTTTATATTTAGAATCCTATAAGGTAATTCCCAAAAGGAACTACTTAGGGGCCTATGGGGTCGTCGTCGCAGTGGGCGGATTGCCAGGAAGGCTTGCGACGTTCACAGGCTCTTCATTTGGGGCATTTGATTGGCCAAGCTACCTGTGGGGATGCAAATTGTATGATGTCGCGTTACAGAACTGAAAACAGGCACAGTGTCAATTTTCGATGGAGTAAGAGTGAGGATGTCGAGCATTTCTCCCTTTGTGCTTCAAGTCGACAAGGCCGAGGGCTTGCAAGAGCCTGCATGAGACCGATCTTGGGAATCCTATACACGAGACAGAGCAAGCTTCCGTTTCGAGCGATCTTCGTGTCGTCAGACCAGTTTACCCGTCCTGAAGCTTGCGAGTGCTTGCTCGAAGCAGGTACTCAGTTGCTTACGCTTTGATTGTTTATTGAGGCTCGCTGTCACTGTTTGCAAACTTTTGGAATCATGCTGGGTCGCGTGCCCTCCTGGTAGATCCTCCGGTATCGCCGCCAAGACATCCTGGCTGAGGGGCCCACAACCAATAGCACATAGAATCAGAAAGATACAATGCGTCGTCGTCACCGTCGTCCAATATCAATATATATAATGGACAAAGCACCTCTCGAATAGTAGCTGGTAGAAACCGTGGTGATTCCAATAGTCATCAGCACCAGCACCAGCAGCGCCCCACCCGCAACAGCAAAAGCAAAGCAACAGCAACAGCAGCGACAACGAACGCGGTGGAACACCATACACAACCGCTACAAGCAGTGCAGGAGTGCATAAATACGGTAACCCGGAGGACAGCTTCCTGTCGAACTAAAAATCCCAAACTATACGACTCGCAGCGGTGATTCTACCTTTTCCCCGCTTGCATGCCTGAACATGACATGCCGGAGCGGCTTGGAGAACTACGTTGAATCTCGGCGTTTCGCCGATTTCGCGAGAACTTTAGCTTCATGTCCATCTCGGGACCTCGCCCCTCTGAGCAAATCCCACATACACTGACATATACTGAATCCCCCAAGCCCGGACAGGATTGCCCGCAGGTGAATTCTGAATCCCCCGCACCTGACCGCCGGGTACCGGCCCAAGCAAGGAGGCAAAGGAATGCTCCCAGGCCTGAGACAAAGGGCAGCTGTATTGGGGTATTGCAACATTTGTAGGGTCATTCTCTTGACACGACAAAGCACAAGGACATCATCGAAACAGCATACCATGGGACAGCGAGGCGGTCGTGTGGCCAAAGTTTATGCGATCCCTGGACCACACCCGAAAACTGTCGATGTAAGCTCGTTGTTTGCCTCCATTGGGCCCGGACATCCGCTTTGGGGTAAAGCGGGTGCACCATGACCGATCTCAGCAGGGACGGCGCTTGTCAAAGAGGCTTTAGTGAGGAAACTTATACCCGAACAATCGTTCACATGCACCTGCATGATGAGAGCTGGGGTTTGGTGTATTCATACCAAAGGAGACACTCTGTGGTTTGTGTACCTATGTAACCTATTGTGTCACATACAAGAAGTATTATGAACTGATTTTATGCTTGGGGCGACGAGGGTGTATAGGTTTGCAAGGTTTGTCAGGCAGAATACACTGGCCACCAGAACTTCAGACTGGGGCAAAGCTACAGAACTGAACGCTAAACAATATACTGTAACAGGTTTGCAAGGTTTGTCAGGCAGAATAAATCATATGCTGTGTCTTCGTCGGGTTCCTTACTATAAGTTCCTGACAAAAATCCTTGATGACAGTGAACGCGTTGCCTACCCCAAAGCTGCAGTACGGCTATCAAGCATTGAACTCACAATGCCGATCTTCCGCAGAGCAGACTGGGTTGGTGTAAATGATAGATAGCTCAAATGTACTGGCATCTAGCGGAAACTCAGCTCAAAAAACGGGAAGCTCACGTGATGGCAAAAGCCCGATAAGAAGCTAAGTAATGCATTTCGGAACAACGGTGCCAAACCCGGTCAGAGTCTTGATGCACAACCTGCGGAACCTACGTCTACCAAACTCTCAAGCAACTTCTTGTCGCATGACCGCACACATGCGCAGTCCATCACCTCATGACAATAGCCTAGCTGACTTGATTTCCCGTGCCGATGAGAAAGCGCCAGCTGCCAAGGCGGAACGCATGCTACCCTTGATCAACTGAGTATCGCTCCAAAGAGATGGTCGACCGTCCGGAAGATTGAGCGAACTAATTCGAATCCAAGGTGCATCAAGGAAGCATCATCATGCTGGGAGCTTGCCTCAACTCTGGCTGTACACTTACATGATCTTGCCGTGCCCAGATCGTGCGATTTGGGGGGGGCAATCTGAAAATCCAGCAGGAACTAGGTACATATGCAAGAAAACCCAGAATTAGCAAAATTAACAGCAAAGGATACTTCAGGCATACCATTCGACGGACAAAGAAAAAACACAACAAGCTTTTACCACCTGTCAACAACAGGACCTCCCAACCAGCTGCACAGTTTACAATCACAAAAAAGGAATGTGCAGATGTGCCGAGCTTGTCTCACGTGTTCGTGGTTTGCCGCTTTCCTCTGATTCCGCACGGTGCATGGGATCTAAAACTCCTACAAGTTTATGCTTGTAAAGGTCCCCGACATGAACTCCAGAATCTCTCCTAGAGTGTGTTGGTTGCACCAACCGCAAGACCTCCTGCCAGGGAATCATATACCGACTTCCGCCCGACAGTGACTCGCGATTCGGCACCAAGAGTGCGGGTGTGTAAAGTGTATACAGAGCCCTGCTGCTGGTGAAAACAATGTTGTCTGCGCTTGGGTTCGCTTGGTGCAGAAGCACCACGGGGCCTCTGCAGCATACGGGACACCCGTGTCTCTCTGAATTTCCCGGACGACTCCATGCTCCCCAGACAGCCCGCGCAGCCAGCTTGGGCTTGACTTGAGCAATACGAACGCAGCCTCTGAAACCCGTGCTATGTCTGCAGACATCCTTCAGAGAGCTGCTAGGTCCGTTGGCTGGGTTCCGCACGACTGGCAAACCAGCGAGGCTGGCGATCAGCGACAGGATCCAGTTTTGTTCTCGGCAAGCACGAGCTTAGGGTCTGAGTTGTCTGAGCTTTGGCTCGTCGGGTAGATGCAGAAAGTTCTCCAGCACCGTTGGGGTCTTGGAGGTTGTTGCACGCGCAAATGCCTAACTAGGCCACTTCGTCCTATAGCATGAGTCACGTGTCAACCCCGGATTAGAACTTTCACGGCTTCCGTGAAATGCTAAGCCTCGGACGAAGTCGAAGGCGCTGCTGGCCACTCACATCCAAACTCCCGTATCCCGCCCCATGACACCACTATTCCTTACTCCGACATCCCCGAGCCCAACCTTCAATCATGAATTTCAAGCAAGAGGCGGAACCACCAAAAGTGAGAC